GGACATACTTCAGTGACACTGCCACCTTCGTAGGATCCAAGCTGAACTCTGACATGATTGTGTCAACAAGGTTTACGTATCCGCAACCACGGTCTACCAATGCCAACGCTGACTGAGATCCATATAGCAAACATACGTGCACGTACACCATTCCTACAAAAATTGAATTTCATGTAGCTGATTTATTGTAATACAATGCATATAGTTCAAACATGAATGACTGTAATGACATGGAAGTCACATTTGTGAACAAGTCATATATGAGACTAAAGATGCAATAAAATGGAGGTCATATATGTTGGATGGCAACCACTGTTTCATGTGGTTACATTCCTGCCAGATATATGAGAAGGTACGCTAAATATTTGACCCGATATTCATAGGATATGTGAACTTCTGTTCATATGTGGCATTGCTAACTAAATCGGCGAGTAGTCGCATTACTATGTATCCAAACGAAAATACATTATCTTACTGTAGGTGAAACGGAGGTCACATACGTGGATGGCAACCACTGTTTCACGTAGTTATATTTCGGTCACATTTATGAGAATGTCACATATGATAGGAATCAATGTCAGGATGCGTGGTGCAACAGATACATGCTTCCATTACATTGGTCACATTTGTTGTCAGTGTGCATAATGGAATAAATTGCATGCCACATTTTTTTCACATAGTTTACATTTCATGCTCGAAAACGAAGCCTCTACATCTACCTATTCCAGTACAAATCACATAACACTGGTAACATATGCTGCCTACATCCTCTGATTGGTGTGGTTACAATCTGTTCGGATTATTGAACCGGTCACAGATCATCGGAATAAATCCCAAAGATGGTTTAAGGTAGTTCAGATTCGTTCACAACACTGATATGGAACAATATTTTTGCATCAAACAAAATATGCGCCCAGAATAGATCCGATGGACGATTATGTGACTGCACGCAGATCCTATTCGATGGATCGTGACTACAAACATAGTAGCTATCCACAATATTGTCGAAGTATTACCTAGATTGTCTTCTTCTCTGCGATTGTGTTAATTTCACGAAATTGAGTCCCAAATCTGTGTCACAAACAATTAATTTCCATCAATCCAAATACAAAATTGAAAATATTATGTGACACGGAGAAAATAATAATTTCGAAATCGTTAAAATTCATCGTCCGTTACCTTTTCTTTTCTCCTTCTCCGGCGGCCAAAATAAGGTTGTGACGTGAAATTCTGAAATTTGGGCTCTTTTGGTTGAGATCTCGATTGTTGTAGTGGAAAGAATCCTGTTATAAATGGGAACTGAGCTTGATTTCAGGAAACTGCTGTAACAGAAATATATATATAATACCTGAGTTATGAATCTTTTTTTTAAAAACCTCACATGTGAACTGGTGTATACAATACACCGGATAAATGTATTCTTCCCTTTGTGTTATCCATTTTGCAACCTGATTAACGTGTTGCGTTCGACCCACGAAATTAATTTAGGTCTATGTGTCGACTATGATCAATTTTTTCAAAGATCTTTTGTGTTACCTACTTTTCTCAACGTAACTGTCAAAAAGTTGTAAAAATAATAGAAGTGTAAGCTAATTTATCATATTCTTTCTTTTGATATCATTCGCATTTAAAGTACAAGTATCATCTATGATTTTAGAAACCTTTTATTTTACAAAATATTTCTCATCTTTTGTTGCTAAATAGAAAAATCACCATTTTCATTGAAACCCACCAAATAAAAAATGTGTAGCCATTTTGGGGACTCAGCTTAACAAAAATTAACACAAATACACAGAGTATCAACTCAATTAGATATCTCAAATGACTCTACTTGTGGCATAAAACAAAATTAAGAAGAACATAAATCAAGAAACTAGCAAAATCATCATTTTTGTTAATAGATCACAAGAGTATACAATGTTGTATATTCTCAGGATTTCGTGAGAATCAAATTCTCTGTTCTCAGCTCAAAAGACAGTATAGAGCATGTCAAATCTGAGAGATGTGTTAATAAGTTGTAATTTCAACAGGAAAGTTAAATACAACTTGAAGAAATATAACCTAAAAACTATAAAAGTTTCACCATATAAACTATTGAACAACTATTGACTCGACAAAATTCTAATACTCGTCATAAACACAGAAGAATAATAACAAAAATGATAATCAACAAAAAAATAGGGTACGTTTCATTGCAAGAATGGAATTTGGATTGAAAAAAAAAAAGAAAAAAGAATTTCAGGGAATTGAATTGCCTCGGACTTGTTTTACTAGGAATTGTCAATTAAAGTGAGGGATTGGGTGAAAAACCAATTCCATAGAAAATTTTGCCCATCAAACGTACCATTTGGATGGAAAATAATTCCATTTTCCATGAAAAATTGAACCTATCAAACATGACCTTACCAAAATAGTTTGCTATAGAGATAATGACCCCAACTACAACATAATTTACTATTGACAAGATAGCTATCGATGAATCAAACTCAAGAAGGCAGTTTGTTATGACAAGATAGCTCTCTTTGAATAAGTAGTATACGTCAGAGTTATAAAATTTCTATCGTGAGAAAAAATTTGTGCGTCCATAATTATTGGAGAGAAACGAAGTTTATTTTTTAAGTAAAGAACACGGGTCAAAATGTACAAAATTGACCACTATCCACACGCCACACCAGTCGTCGGCTCCAACCACCATGCACGTCACGTGCTACCAATGAATGGACTCCTCGATGCTACGAACCCAATGATGCCGCCCACACGCCTCAACTCCAAATAGAAGGAGGTGAATCGTCGACCAGAAACAAAATCTCTTCTCCAAAAAATTGGGTTTGATTGTCAATATTTTTCACCTAAATTTCTATTTTTATGCTGTTTGATTGATATTTTTTCATAAAAAATATTTCATACTTTTGGTCACATTATCGTATTCTCTTTAAAGGGAGTATGTTTTTATTTTTTAGATAATTCACTCTTTCTTTCTCTCTCAGCTACTCCCTCTCTCCCCCACTATCTACCAATAAATAATTGAACGAGTATAATATTTTCTAGGTTGAAAATAAAATTAAAAAAAATATTTAATCGACAATTTCTATGCAAAAAATTTCTTGACAATTTATACTGTATCGCTACATTTCAATATGTTTATGGAGAATTGATACGCGAATATTCGCCGAAAGTAGGACGAAATTTTGGCATTCATCACAACTTATTGGCGCAGTTTTCTTGCCATTTTCATCTATAAATTAACACATTATACTTATGGGTTATAGAAACTTATTTTAAATCAAATAAATCCAAAAATAATTAGCTTGAATTGAATCATTGCCTTCTTCTCGACACGATTAGAGCATTCCTTATTGGTCTAAAACCAATCACGATAGAAAGAGCTATCTCATTTACTCAATTTTTAAACCGTGCAATCTTAATTTACGGTCTTTATATGTTTGTCATTATGTAGACTTCTGTAATTTCATATTCTGTATACTATGAAGATATGTAAATAATTTGATCGACGCTTTTCCCTCAATGAAATCGTTAAAATGTGTTTCTTAACTGGTGATTTACGTACATACAAGTTAAAGTTGTAAAGATTATGTATTAATTATCAAATGCGTTCATCCCCTTTATTCTACAATAGAAAATATCAATAATTCATTGTTCTCAAAGAGAGAGAATGAATATTTGAATGGAAATAGTAATAAGTTCATTGCCTTCCCAAGAGTCAAAGGTGCGTAGCGCAATATTTGCTTTTAGTAAAGTAGTGTACATCGCCATTCGCCAACAAAGACAAGTATTACGGGATCATCAAGGAAGAGGATGGAAATAGTAATCAGTTCCTTGTCTTCCCAACAGTCGAAGGTGCGTAGCGCAATATTCGCTTTCAGTAAAGTAGTGTACACCGCCAACAAAGACAAGTAATACGGCGTCTTCGAGGAAGAGGTTAGGACCCTAGCTTCAGAAGTGGTAGCAAAGCATTTGGCTAAATCATCATCGGAGTTCAGAAATAAAATAAAATCACAAAATGGTTTTTTAATTAAATAATCATATTTAGATTTTCTAAAAATTTGTTTTAAATAAGATGTACACATTTTTCAGTCTATTTTGCCATAATATCAAAACCATTTTCATTATCATGCAAGAAAGGTAAAGAATGCTATTAAAATCATCTCATCCTTGCTGCGACCAAGTGATGAGTAAAAAGAAATGCCCGCGGAAAACTTGTAAATAGTAACTGGTTCAAATCCACAAGCTAAAGAGTAGGCAATTGCATTATGATTAGGATAGTGTGGTTTCATCCTATTCTTGAATTATCTCTGCCAAAGACCAGTGTTGTTCCCCAGTTAACTGCGACATAAAATCTGTTCCTCCAGCTTAAAACTCGAGTCAGGTAGGCAGAGCGCCAAATCAACCAGCTCATGAATCCCGCAAGTGAAATTCCCTTCGCGTCCTGTGAAAGGTAAAACGCGTATCAACTTTCATTCTTATGTGCTGGTTGTCAAGAGAGGGATTGGAGAAGTCGACTTATTTACCTTCGTTTGACGAAGATCAACCAGTGCCTTGTAACGCCCAACAGACGCCATGCTTCCAAGATGCTTGTACACAAATGGCTCTCCTAGAGCCATTTCTTTTGCAGAGAAAGCCTTGCCTCCACTCTCCTTGCCAATTCTGTTGAACAATTCAACAAGATATTTCCCTTCCCGTTCTGCAACCTGTTTAAAATTCGTAGTTATGCTTCCATGCTTGTATCTTTTTAAGTTTTAAGAGGATAAGTTTCTTGCCATTCTCCAACACGTGAAACTAGATACAATTACATATGGAAAACAGATTATTTTAATATCCAATTTTAGATCAATCTGACCTGAGCTAGAGCTGGAAGAACTGGCCTCCCTGTCTGTTCAAGAAAACCAGCACAATCTCCAAGTGCAAACACATCCTCAATGGATGGAACTCGTAGCCATTCATCAACACCAATTCTGTACAAGTTGAGAAATTTAGACACAATCCAAGATGTCTATACTGAAATGTGGAAAGATAACAATTTTGATCCACAAAGATTATACCTTCCACCAGGAGACTTGGGAAGATTTAGTGATTTAACAAATTCTGATGGACCAACTCCAGTAGACCAGACAAGGAGGCCATAAGGAACATCACTTCCATCACTAAGAATGATCTTATTCGGATGCACCTCCTTGACAACACCTCGTACAAGGCGAACTCCAACCTAAACATAGCAAGGATCAATAGTAGTGTTAAACTATGGGAAAAAAAACATTTTTGATGATTAAAGAGAAAGTGATTTGAGTTACCTTTGTTAAGTGCTTTGTAGCATATTGCCTTAATCCGATATCAAATGATGACAAAATCTCATTCGCCTGTAAGAGAGATTAAGAAGAAAACAACATTGGAAAAAACAAGGTAACCTTAAGAACACACCAAACAAGTGTGAAAATACACTAATTATACACTCGTACCTCAATGAGAGTAACACGAATGTAGTTTTTGACATGAGCGTACCGCTGATGGACATCTCTCATGATAAAGTCACTCAATTCGCCACTGAATTCCACCCCAGTAGGTCCACCTCCAATTACAACGCAATGTAAAAGGCGTTCCTTCTCTTCTTCTGAAGTTCCTGTAATGTTTCATTGGATCCAACTTTAATTCTATTGACAATTTCAGTAGTTATTTTTAGGACGGTGTCAGGTAGTTCATTTCTTTAACATAACTGAAGCTTACGTGATCTTGTTTCTTCAGAGAATTCAAACCATATAAAGCTTTTCATTATGGTCAGCATATATCAAATGAGTAAAAACTATTTGCATTTTAAGAATATTTACTGAGTGGTTCATGCCTATACGAACATTATTTAGCATAAAAGCTTTGTATCTCACTAAAATTATCAATATATGTAATAAACATAAGTATCCTCATATTCTTTGTTTCATTCAGGTCCACACTTGACCTTGTATAAATTTAAAAATATGTTTATATCAGAATTTTAGTATCAGATCTATTAGTTTCATACTCACGCAACAAACAGATTACCTGTTA